GTGGGTGACCCTGTAATATGCTGAGTCATGTTTTGGTACTGACACCAGCTGTGGGTGACCCTGTAATATGCTGAGTCATGTTTTGGTACTGACACCAGCTGTGGGTGACCCTGTAATATGCTGAGTCATGTTTTGGTACTGACACCAGCTGTGGGTGACCCAGTAATATACCGAATCATGTTGCCGCTATCTTCTTACCTATTGTGAGAAAAGTAAACTCTAAACATAGTCTGGCTATATGAAAACACAAAATCAATTTATTGTTTTGGAGTTTTCCATGTAGAGTGAGTATTGTGAAAATGGGACAGCAGGCAAAATGGGACAGATACTTTGCAGTTAATATATGTGTTTCACAAAACTTTAATTTATTTTCTATTTAGTGTTCAAGGGGCATTAATGAATTTAGAATGGTATAAATTTGGGATTAAAGACATTGAGATGATTTTTTCCAGAAAGCAAATTTTCCAGAAAGTGCCCCATTTTAACAATACTCACCCTATACCCATGAAACTAAAGTGACAGATCTAGCCTTGTCAATGTCATAAGACAAATCAGACAGATGTGATACTGAACCACCTTAACCCACACTATCAAAAGAAACACCTGCTTTTTTTAATCTTCCAGTGTCCGATTTTCATTTCTTTTTCTTTTTGGCATGACATGTCACTTGGTCTTATTCCCATTGAGAACTAAGTGAAAGGCAGATGGATAGGTGTGTCAGTCTGCATATAATTTGCTGCATTTAATCAGTGTGATTGATCTTGGCTACACCTGTGAGATAGACCATGTCTCTAGAGGTCATCTAATCTCCGGTTTGAGCAGCAGGTGTTTGGGTGTTCCCTCCAAGATGCAGGGCCATGAAAGATTCATATATACAGCAGAAGTGTGTCCCTCTGTGTGCTGCCTAAGCCTCCCTCATAAGAGAGCATTTTCTGCAGTATACTGTGGTCAATATAACCTGCGATCAAATGTATTACACATAAAACTGGAGCTTTTCTGGTAGATTTCAGTTAAAAGTTTGACAAAACACCTGAAATCAAGTACTAGAAAACCAGTTTATTTTTGTATAGTTTGTATAGTGTATAGTTACAAATGTAAAGTCGCACAGCTAAATGTTTTACGCTAACAGGATCACACTGGGGTTACATCAGGCAGATGCCCTTGTGGTGATGTGTCATTACAAAGAACTTGCTCTAACTTATAGTTTCAAATAAAGAAATGTCAGTTGTTATCTATAAAAAGGGACCTGTAATTAAGATTATTAAGTAAAATTGTCATCCATATTGTGTTTACAGACAATTTATTCCTTATAGGTATGATTCGTTATTTTTATGAATTACTATACATATGTGGTGCAGGCAGGTCTATTTTATTTGAACTCTTAGTCACACTTTGTAATGGGTCATCTGGGTCAAGTATAACAGGAACTGTTTAGAACTTTTTCACTATAGCATTTGGTCACTATAGAAGCATCATGCCTCTTTTGCTAAAAGTGGCAGGAATAGGGATATTTCCATAGCCCCAGCTTTCTTGAATGTTCATAAAAAAGACTTTATTTTTCTGCTGTTTGAAAAGTTAGCAGAGAAAGCTAAATTATTTAACGCAAGGCTATCGCTTTCCTCTTGGTCAGTTGGCAGGGTAACTATAGCAGAATTTCATTTATTATTAACCGACTCGGTGGCAACACGGACACCTCTTCCCGCAGAGTCCCTGGGCTGCTGAACGCGTGGGTTCATGGCCACGCGAAAGAAAACAAATGAAGACTGCCATGTTGTGTAACCCAACAAAACTTCATTGAGACACAATGTAGAACAGGGATCATGTAAAAGTGTTGCTTTTTTCCAATGGAGGGAGCAAACACGAAAGCTGGGGACGAGAAGCCTCCGAAAAAAGTGAGGTTTCGGGTGTCATCGGCAAACAGTGGTCGGATCCTGAAGGAGGTGTTCAAAGACGAGGGACCTTCGGACTCGCTGGACTCTGATGGCAACAGCAGCTCGGAGGCAGAGCGGGACGGCTCACCCCCGGCCAACGATGCCAGCGGACACCTCAACGGCCTTTTGGGCCCCGAGCCGGACGACAGTGGGAGCGAGCCGGACGACCTGCTCATGTACGCCGGGGCCTGCCGGGACAGACCCTTCGGCACCAGGCGGGTCAACATCCTCAGCAAAAACGGGACTGTGCGTGGTGTGAAGCACAAAGTGAGCGCCGGACAGGCGCTCTTCAGCAGCCTCAGCAGTGTCTATGGGGTAAGGAGCCCTCTGCCACATACTGCCTCATTCACTCACCTTCTCTTCTTTTTCATTCATTTTCCTCCGTTTTCCACATCAGCTATTGACATACTCCATTAGTTAGGATACTGCCGTAAACCTGAATGCAAAATCAAAAATGCAAATGGAAAATCAAAATTCAAATGCAACATCCAAGCTTATATTTCATTTCCAATTTCTATTTGTTGTCATATTTGCATTTTATTTATATTAATTTATATATGCATATATAGCAAAGCAATCCAGCCTGATATCTTAACTAGTTATCTAAACTAAGGCCAGAAAATCACACTGGAAATATCTAAAACTGCCATTTTATAGATATTTAACAAGATTTTACATTTATAAATTGTACTTAACTGTAATTCTTTTTAAAAATTCAATGTCTTACAGAACACAAGAATGAGCATGAAAATAACATAAAGTTGTCATCACCTTTTATGGAATCTTATAAACTAACCTTTGAAGCCAGTGCATTAGTTACCAATGAAAAAGCCCTTATATGTGAGAAATGAGTGTTTTTTTTCTGGAACTGCTTCCGTACTGGATAGAGCACAAACATTTTTGTACAATCATAAATGCAGAAGCTGCGAGAGATTGAGACAGGTGCACCAATATAAGTAAGTGTTTCTTTTTGAGTTTGGAGCTGCAGTATTTGGCCACGGCATCCTGACTCTCTTGAACTTTCTCTTTCACCGTCCCACTACCAAATGATGTCACAGGCTAGACGACATGCTTGCCAAATGAAAGATTAATGACCAATTCAGTAAGTGTTAGGGGGGAGCTATATCATGCTAATGAACCCTACAGTCTTTGCCTTCTAGTGAAACTGCAGCATCAACATTAAGAAGCTGGCAAATGACTGTGGGAAGCTGAAGAAATAAAATAAGGAAAAAAACACACCTTTAGCAAGTCCATCGATATGCATAAGTTTTCTGTTTCTCCACTAAATGCAATTTTATCCTGGAGACAGAGAAGCAATATTTATTACTTGCTTCAGATACTGGTACTATGACTGAAAATATCAGCCACATGTGTATTTGTCGGCTATATAGAAAATACAAGCAAGTCTCTTGTTTATTTATTTGTTTGCTTATTCATTTATTTGCTTGTTTGTTTATTTCAGTCTTATATTGAACCTAATTCACTGGATAATTGATTACCATGCACTGTAAATAACTGCCCAGTTTAATTAAAGAGCACTCAGTAATACAATTAAAGGGAAGTGGCTTAACTCGGTCAGTGACTGAAAATGCAAAGTAATCATATTTACAGTTTCACGGTTTCATTTTATGATCCCATACAAGCCCAACTCTTTAGGCAAATTTAAGCAGGTATGGAAGGGTGGGCCAGTGTTCTGCTGCCAGTGTTCTGCTGCCAGTGTTCTGCTGCCAATGTTCTGCTGCTGACATAGCAGTTTCCTGCGGTCACTTGATTTCATTGATATTGTAGGATGTACTTCACTGCAAGTCAAAGGGCTGAGGTCTATAATGTCTCACAGCTTCACACAGACATAGATTAAAATTTACGGAATTTTGGATTTTCTCTACTTTGAAGGGGACCTGGTCTTCCCCCGAAACCTTACAAATCTATTCTCAAACTCAGGGGGTCAGGTGATTACATTGTGACGGGTCCCACTGAGGCCTAAAAGGAGGGTTTCCAGTTTCAGCTCTGGCACGTCACAGGGGCCTTGAAAAGGTCATCAAGGGTGTGTGACTCTGGGAACAAAGGGGGAATCATTCCAAGTGGAGCCCAATCTCTTTTTTGGCAAGAAGCCAAATCTCTGTTCCACTGAAGTTATCTCCAGTGCAGGGGATGTCTGGCTCATACCAAACTGCCTGAATAGGGGCTGTCTGGCTCATACCAAACTGCCTGAATAGGGGCTGCCTGGCTCATACCAAACTGCCTGAATAGGGGCTGCCTGGCTCATACCAAACTGCCTGAATAGGGGCTGCCTGGCTCATACCAAACTGCCTGAATAGGGGCTGTCTGGCTCATACCAAACTGGCTGAACTGTGGTTGTGTTTTTTCAAGGGTTTGCTGCGGGGTGGCACGCTTCCACAGAGAGGGAACCGCTGAGACCGGGACTTCCTGTGTCACCAATCGGAATCTGTTTATGTGTCGAGCGCCCCTGGACAATACATACCATAAATACCCCCCATCTCCCTTCTGTCTCCATCACCTCCCCTGGAGTCTTCTTGTGGCAGATGTATCCTTTCCCCTGCCCACACCTGGAACTAAGGGCCCCTGGTGACTGGTAGCTGGAAGCTAACAGGGCTTGATGGTCAGGGTCTACAGAAATCATACAGAAAATCTGAGCTGGATGTAACACTGAACACTAAACCTGCATAATCAGGTGGATCCAAGCCTAGAGATATAACATCCAATAAACAAAATATAAAAACAACCGTGTCCGACTTTAACTGGCCGAAGTTAATGGTGTATCGATGTATAATATTATTATTTGACTGTGCAGCTGAATGTGTTATTGCCCATCTGACATAATTATCAGTGCTGATGCCTTTGTGCTGGAATCCATTTGTCAGTTGTTTACAGCTTTGAGGTAAAGGTATGTGTTAAAAATGTTATATCCTAGTGGACCTTATCATTATTCTTAAGTTTTACTTTATATATATAGCTAGATATTCAAAGATGGCAGGTTTTTCCATAGAGCTGTGCTTTGTGAAGAGCTTGTTTCGGAGGCTTCAGACTTGCAAAACAGAGCCAGTGGTGAATTTAAGCCACTTAGAAGACATTATGCAACAGCCTCCATCGGCTAATTTTCTCTTAATGGTTCGAAGTCACATGAGCTCACAACACGCAAAGTCTTTCAGTCTAGGCTGAGGTGTCTGCTGTCTGATCTGGCCCCCACCCATGGGAAAGGCGTTTGTCAGAACTCATCTGTTTTCTTATAAATCAATTTAGAATTTTCTAACTATGACCCACCTGAGAGTCATTGTGTGAAATAAAGGCGGTACAGACATAAGAACATAAGAACATAAGAAATTTACAAACGAGAGGAGGCCATTCAGCCCATCAAGCTCGTTTGGGGAGAACTTAACTAATAGCTCAGAGTTGTTAAAATCTTATCTAGCTCTGATTTAAAGGAACCCATGGTTTTAGCTTCCACTACAATAGCAGGAAGACTATTCCATACTCTAACTACACGCTGTGTAAAGAAGTGCTTCCTCAAATTTGTTTTAAAATGTTCTCCTGCTAATTTCCACTTATGGCCACGAGTTCTAGTATTTAGACTAATATTGAAATAGTCATTTGGCTGAACAGCATCCAGACCCGTTAGAATCTTATAGACCTGAATCATATCCCCCTTAGTCTCCTTTGCTCAGGGCTAAACAGATTCAGTTCCGCTAACCTCTCCTCATAAGACATATTGCAATGAAGAAATAAAAGTCTGAATATTTTAATAGTTTAAGTTGTAAAATCTTGTAGTTTTTTATAGACATTTGTACAGTTGACAAGAAGTCTCCTCTTGCTTGAATTATGCTCTTTTGTATAAATTAATGCTGTTGACAGTAAATATTGTGAAGTCTGGTGAATTTTTTTTCTGTTTTGAGTTTGTGAGTTAAATGTCTGTTGTGTGATTTTTATTCCTTGCTAAGTATTGTTTTCATTGTGTTTATCAATGGTAATCTTAAGTTAGATGTATGAAAATTGTTTCTGAGTAGCCATGTTTCCCATGAATTTAAATTTTTATAGCTTTTCAAATTGTGTTTCACTGTACATTTTTAACTGACTGCTTTTTGCAGAATGCCTATTATACTCATTTTGGATGAAATTCCTACTTTTTGATGTGGTCATAATTAATGACCACATGCTATTTTGATAATCTATCCATTTTAGTCAAACTTAATTAAATGAAGACTGTCCAAGGCATATGACCCCCTCCTGTTCTTAACGTAAAAGTGAAAGTAATTGCAATATCATGTATTGTGGTTTCAGAATTTCTGCTGTTTAAAGCACAATCAGTTTGTTAACAATTCCCTTCTTGTCATAAGTCATTTTCATGGGTCCAGTGTCTTTGGCTATTATTAGATTTTGTTATTGTTAGATTATTGAAGTGAATAAATATGCTTTAGATTTGCATTGCTTATAGCACATAAGGACTTTGAGGAACCTGCCTAGTGTTTTCATAGTATTGTGCTATTGGTTTTTAGCTACTAGTAAGCAGGATTTGCATGTACAGAGCTGACATGAAAAAATAAATCAATGTATAAATGAATTAAGGAATGAATGAATATTTTTATTGTCATTGCACACATACAATTGTCACCGCCCAAGTACAATTTAGTTGAGTTAGCAACTTCCATACTCAATGACAATAAAAGATAAAATAAAAATAGAAAAGTAAGATAAAATAACAGTAAAGTAGTAAATAAAAATCAACACCAAAACCAACATAGTACTGAAAAATAGTAATTTAGCAACAGTGTAAAATGCATAGCATAAACAGCATAAGACAGTATATGGTAGTATATGACAGTATATGATAGTATGGGACAGTATATGACGGTAAAGATGGTATAAAGTGTCTGGGAGCAGTAACAGTGCATGTCTGGCAGTATTATGTGAAAAAAAAACAGCAAAACCAAAACAGTATGGGAGGAGTCAGACAGATTATGGAGGGAGCAGTTATTACCAATATTACCATATTACCAATATACACCTATAATATGGGGCACAACACAGAAAAACAAACTGATGAAAGATTGGAGCCAAATCAGCAGGTCTGCCATTAATACCCTTTTACCATTAGCGCTATTTATGTGATGAAACAATCATAGCACTGAGTACAAATAGCTTGTATGGGCCACTGCCTTTGAATATGAGCCATGGTAACCTGGCAACATGCTCTTTGTGTTTCCCCAGCCAACAGTGAGGCTCGAGTTTGGGCGGATCGCGATCTACACCACCAGTTTCCGTGTGGTGCGAACCACGTTCGAGCGCTGCGAGCTGGTGCGCAAGATCTTCCAGAACCACCGGGTCAAGTTCCTGGAGAGAAACGTGGCCTTGAACAGTAACTTCGGCAAGGAGCTGGAAGAGAGGTGCCGGCGGGTGGGAGAATTACCCTCTCTGCCGGTGGTCTTCATTGATGGACACTACCTTGGGGTCAGGGCCTCCTCTCTCTTTGAAGCCCAGATATTGCTGAAGTACTCCTGCAATATATAACCTATAATCCTTCAGGCAAAGGACAATGCAAATACATGTAAACAATTTAATTTGTATAAAATTTGTTTAGATGTTATTTCATTAAGAAAACTACAAATGACATACTTATAGAGCAGAAATGTGGCATTTCAGCTCACTTTCACTATGTGCTTATTTCCCAGGGAGCTGAGAAAATTCTGGGTATGAATGAATCAGGAGAGCTTCAGGATCTTCTCACCAAAATCGAGGTAAAAATGGTTTGGGGTGTTTTTTGGTTACATCAGAAACTATACGAAAATCTGATTTAGTGTAGCATTCCACGTTTCATCAAGGAAATCTAAATTTTGCTACTGGTTTCAGTTCCTTTGTTACTTTTCATAAATTTTGATAAAATTTCCGTCAACTTTTATGGTACTCATTAGCATACCTGCTCTTAATTCCCATTGTTTGTCACACTGACACAAAAACACGCCAGTGTAGACACCCATGACTCTCTGTTACATACCTTTCAAAGCAATGTTTCATGAAATATCTCTCCCCAAATGACATTAAGTTAATGTCAGTTGAGTTTCAGTGTCTATTTGCACCCGGGGGAAAATAGTCATTTGTCTGGCTATTTACACCCGGCCTCCTCAGTCCCCGCCCCCTGGCTCCTCAAAAAAACATAAACACTGCGATGCAGGCATGGTTTCATGCCACTTCAATGGCTGACGGCACCAAAATGGGATGCAAATATAAAATGTAAGGTACACTAAGCATAAAATGTGCCCTTGTTCTAACAATAGTTAGCTAGCTGAAGGTACACAGTAACCTTGCTAACTACCATTGGCACTAGCTAAAGGAGTAGCACATGGGAAGGAATTTTAGATCTATAATAGCATCTGCCTGAAAAGGTGGTGTTACTCCCCCTTGTGGATCAACCACGTCACACCACAGGGTGGATTAGCTGTGGATTGTATCAATTATGGATTAACCAGGGGCCAGGGAAAATGTATGGGGACTCGTAAAATGACATCAATAATAAATGGGGGTTACATTCAGATAATTCACATAATGGGTAAAGGTATAGCTTTCAAGAGCACAAACTGGGACTGCCTGAGGTTGAGCCTCTTTGGCCAAAGCCAAGCCTGATTTGCTATGTGTCAGCAAATCTCAAAGGTTAGCAAATCCCTGAGCTCACCCACCCATAGCAAGATAATTAAATAAGTAGTAAACCCACCAAAGGTGGCAGGCAAACAGTAATCACAAGAGCCAAAATAACCATACAAATGGCTATTTGACTGGACATTGAATTAGCAGCAATCCAGGCAAATGGTAGCTAGCAGGAACACTGCCTGTTGGTGTACGTGATGGCTGTCTGCAAATCTTGAGCAACAATAATACGGAATGAAAGAATAATTGTTAAATAGTATTGTATGTCCCTCACTAGTGTGCAATTAATTGGTCTGTGGATAATGACACTGGTACAGGATTTATAGTTTGTTTGCAAGATTTAATGGATTCTAAGGACATAAAATAAGGCTTAGGATTTGCTAAACTCTGAATTTTCCTTTCTTCATTCCAGAAGGTGCAGCACCCGCATACTTGCTCCACCTGTGGGGACTTTGCCTTCATCCCGTGCCCCGTGTGCCATGGCAGCAAGATGTCTCTATTCCGGAACTGCTTCACAGATTCATTCAAGGCCCTCAAATGCACTGCCTGCAATGAGAACGGCCTGCAGTCCTGCCCCAGATGCTCCTCTTAGGGCTGCAGCCGCACACAATCCACATACACAAACTCTTTGTCTCCCCCTAGAGGACAGACATGGGACTGACAACACCTCCATCCATCCATCCATCCATCCATCCATCCATCTATGTTCCTAATGCTTAGCCTAAGCAGGGTCATGTGGTTGGGTCTGGAACCTATCCCACAAAATGCAGGGCAAACATAAAGCAGGAGTACACCCACCCAAACAAACCAAATACCAACATATTATTTTTAAAATCCTCTCATGTGAATACAACCTGTGAATGTTAATAAAAACTTTGGTTTCTTAGATAACTGTGAGATCCTACAGATGACTTGATTTAAAAAAAAAACTTCAAGAGGTGCTATCTATCCATCTAGATTGTTCTGTCGGGAATTGCCTAATTTTGGCCTTAGAGATGTTGGGCTACTCCCAAATATAATGGGAATGAATGGCATTCTTTCAATGTTTATTTAAGTGCCAGAAAAGTACATTTGAAAGATTCAACAGCAACGTCTTACCAGAAATCATGACCCAGATGTTGAATATAATCCACAGACTTTTTAGTGAGCAGTTTAACATACTAGCTATTCTTTTCTACTAAATTCTAAACACCAATCGTATCACTGGGCAAAAGATATTGCGCCAGGGTGCTCACGCTCCTATCTTCTGTGCAGTGATATGATTGGCATGTGGAGTTGGGTGGGGTGGGGGGTGGGGGCATGCAGAATCCATACAGACAGCACAGGGGTGCAAGCTACCATGCTGCCCGTGATTTTGCAATATCTGGAAAATTAGGGCCTGTAGTAATCAGGTTAATCTTCAATGTAACAAAGTATACATCAAATAAATCCATCAAAACCAAGGAAATCCGATATTCAGTAACACTGAGAAACAACACCGTCCTCTGAATAATCCAGGGGTCTGTATCAAGAAGCCAGATTTCTTGCTTTGCTGGATGATCAGTCAGATTTAAGGTAACCCAGTCTAAATGGACTTTATCTTTGTTCACTTACATTTAGCCAAGACTACCTTAAATCTGACAAATTATCCGGCCAAGAAATCTTGCTTCATGATACAAGCTGCAGGCTATGCATGTTGGTAGATATCGGGCGTTATTAACCAGCTTGAGGCATATTGCTGACATTAATAGATTTCCATGCAAAATAAACTCCAAACCTGGGATGCCATGTACTATTACTCATACATTCACTACAGAAGATGCTAGAACCTTAATTGCTTCTGCCATGCTGTGTTACACACAGTCACTGCATTGATTGGGAGGAAAACAAATGATAAATAATAAGCAATAATGGTCATCGTCAATTTCATAGAGACAGGATGACGCCAAAGGAACCTGAGATGGAGATTACACTCAACAGCTTCAGCTGTAATTTTTTATTAAAGACCACTACATTAAATTATAGAGACCTATGAAGGTTAATGAAGAAAATACTCTGCATCAGTTTTTTAGTGGTGACATAAAGTACTGAGAGCAGGAATAGATTTCAGCAACCCTTTCTGCTCTGAGATATAAATTTAAGCCATTACACCTGCTACTAAGAGCCTGAGGGCCCCCTTTTCCCTTGTATTATAAAGGGAAGGACTCTTAAACCTTACATTTTAGTGCAGGTGTGTGGTCTTACTGATTAATATTTAATCTTCTTCCTTGCAGAATGGAGGCATATTTTTGACCCACAAAGAAGGACGAAAAGCAAGGCTCTGCAGAACACATTTGCATTGTGAATTATTTATTGTTAGTCACATATTTAGACGGCTTAGTTCGCTGTCAATTATTTAAGACACAACTATCATTCACAATGTCAGGGCGAGATGCAGGCTTAGTATTGGAGATATGTGGGGTTCATGGAAACTGCCACGCGAATCCCAGGGCTCTGCTCTCCTGGGTAGATCGGCATGAACTGTATGCCTCACAGCTTATAGCATTTAATTTTTTTTTTAAATGGATCAACTAGTTTGAGTCTCCACCAGGATTCCATGTGTGTGGAGTTTGCATGTTCTCCCCACGTCACAGGGTGTCCTCCGGTTACTGCCCATAGGTGTGCGTGTGGTGTGTGAATGTGCCCTGCGATGGGTTCACCCCCCTTGTTTCCCGACTTGCGCCCATAGCCTCTGGGATAGGATCCGGACCCCCCGCCACCCTGAATAGGATAAGCAGCTTCAGAAAATGGATGGGTGGGTGAATCAACTAGTTACTGCTGCTAACAAATCTAAGCCATGTTGTATAGAAATGTAGTCATGTGAAAAATAATAAAAGTGATCAATATCAGACATTCACATTGAGCTAGTTAAAAATAAAACTTTTACACATTCTCATATTGGGTAGTTGATGCTATGAACGGTACACCTTTAGAATGTGTTCTACTGGCTTTCACACTCTACCACTGGGTGGAGCATAAATAAATATGTTCCGATAACACATGCACATTTTCAACACTTTATTGTTTAATGTTCAGGTAAATAGGGGTGACATTGAGAATAAAGTCAAAAGAAAGGTTGAAATTACATTGTTATTAGGTGGGCTGAGCCTGAAGAGAACACGCTGAAATGTGAACTGAGCCTGTAGGGCACACACTGAAAAGTGAACTGAGCCTGTAGAGCACACGGTGAAAAGTGAACTGAGCTGGTAGAGCACACACTGAAAAGTGAAGTGAGCCTGTAGAGCACAAGCTGAAATGTGAACTGGTCCTGTAGTGCACAAGCTGAAAAGTGAACTGAGCTGGTGCAGCATATGTTGAAAAGTGAACTGAGTCTGTAGCGCACACGCTGAAAAGTGAACTGAGCCTGTAGAGCACAAGCTGAAAAGTGAACTGAGCTGGTAGAGCACAAGCTGAAAAGTGAACTGAGCTGGTAGAGCAGACACTAAAGTGGCACCCCTATAAATTACGTGCCATTGAATTCAAAGGGTTTCAAGTGAAGATCAAGCAGTTTAATGATTCAAATTGCAGGATGACAAACACCAAAAAACACTCAAAATCAGGCACAAAAAAGCAGGTAAGTTCAGAAGTCAGTCTAGGGCAATGTAAATGCAAAGTCCAGAAATAAAGTAACAGACAAGGGCTTAGAAACTGGGTGGGCAAACAGGGCATCCAATAGAGACAAACTGTCATGACTGGATGCTAGGAGGGAGTGACCATCCATGAGCAGATGTGGGTTGTGAAGGAGGAGGCTTTGTTATGCACTATATGCACTTTAAGTTTTTTCTGGAACCAGAGCCTTTTTCCGGAACCAAGGGCATTTTGTAGTGTTCACACCGCAGGAACTCCTTCAGAACCCTTTTTTAGTCTGGTCATTCCATGTCAAATCATCACACTTTCGGACCTCGCTGTCAGATTTAAGCGAACAAAGTTTGAACTTTTTGGGGGGCTATGACTTTGACTGGCTATATTTACCTTAATATAAGCTGCACAGAAATGGTCCTCATATTGTTTTAAAGCTATTGTGCAGCTCTATAGATTGAACAAATAATATACCATCCCCATATGAATAATTACTATGTAATAACTGATTAAAATACAAAACATTTAATAACAAAAAAAACAATATTTCAAAATTGATAAATTTTTTACTAAAGCTAGATCATAATGTCTTGAACATCTCCAGAAAATTTGGTCTTTGGTTTTTAAGCTGTTGCTGAGATATCTTGACTTAAAGGTAACGTCACATGGTTTCATATCACTAATGGGCCTTTTTAATGGCAGCCAAACTGACATGAAATAGTATAACAAGCACAGGTGTACAGCTGTACTTGCCATACTATTGAAAAGGCCCACATGGCTAGTAAATATGGCTAATAAATGCCCTGCATTCAACAGAGGTGAATGAGATGTGCAAATCAGTCCAGTGTAAGTGCACACTTAGGGAATCACTCAACTTTGCAAGCATCAAAGGTTATGTCGTGGCTGCATATGATGATAGTTGTCGGCTAGGATGTGTTGACATTTGTTCGTTCAATATTGATCCCAGACACTCCCAATTTCAGTTTTATCACTCATGTGACCAAATCAGCATGGCAAGTTTTGTTAAAATCCAAGACGATGAGGTTCGAAAGTGTGCTGATTTGACATGGAATTACCCAGTAGCTACTCCAGACTAGGTACTTTTGGTTTGAACACGAACTACTGGGGAGGCCCTTAAAGCGACTGCTTGCTAATTGGTTGACCACAAGCACTGGCATAGGAGATATAGCTGAGCAAAAATTGAGCAGTTGCAATTATTTGTCATGACTATGTGGCATAGTGTAGATGGAAAAAAGGTGACAATCCACTTAGGGCTCTGAGACAACAAGGTTTTATTGAATAAAACTAAAAACACAATGGGGAAGTACAGCAAAGCAAAAGGACCATGAGGGGTCAGAAAACAAACAAGGAAAAATAAGGAAATAAACTAAAACCATGAAACAAAACACAACTAAGGAACAAGCAACCACCGGGAACAGGACTGGGCAAACTGGCAAAGTAATAACTATGCTGTAACATAGGCATAGCAAGGTAAATCAAAAGTGAGGACAAAAAGCAAAGACAAAGATAAACAATACCAACACACACACAGGAAAAACTGATAATACTTTAACTCACGACCTGAGGGTTTACAGTCTCAGGGCAACACACTGTGTCCTGCTTTGATCGCGATTGATCCCCCCAATAACTAACCCATCAAATAACTAACAAAATGGCTTATTTATCCTCCATTTTTCTGGCATTCCAGTGTAGTTTTAGATGAAATTAGGTGTGAAATTTAACCTGCAAACTTCTTGCACCTCTAATGCTAGTTTAGCACAAAAGCCTCAGTTCTAGTTGTGTGGCGTGAAAGCAACACGCAAACGTGGCCAGGAGCCACAAAAGTACCAGGTCGAGACAGCCCAGGGACGAGGTTCTGGAACTTCGGTGTGAATATGAACAATAAGTAATATAAATAAGTAATATAAATAGGGAGTTGCTGCGAAAACGTGCATGCACACTGGCCCTTTGCAGATAAGATTGGCCACCCCTGACTTAAACCAGACAAGGTTCTAGTCTGATTCCCAAAACCTGTGAAATGATGTCAAAGTAGGGAGTC